CCGAGCCCCGTTACCGCTCCCCCCGCCCGAGCCCCGTTACCGCTCCCCGCCCGACCCCCGTTACCGCTCCCCCAGCCTGAGCCCCGTTACCGCTCCCAGCGGCGCCGCCGGGCGGGGGACGCGGCCATGGCGCGCCGGGCCCGTCCCGCAGCGCCGCCGTTCCCCGGAAGGCGCGGCCGGGCGCGGACGTTCCGGGCCGGCGGCCCCGGCCCCGGCGGCCCCGGCAGCGGGCGCGGAAGGAGCCAGAGCAGCCGCGAGAGCTGAACGAGTTTATTGAGAAGGGGAGGGGGAGAACCCGGCCCGGGCCAAGGCGGGGCGGGCTGAAGGCAGCGAAGGAGCCGCGGCGCTCAGGGTCCCCGTGCGGGTCCCGCCGCAGCGGGAGGCGCTGCACAGGAGCCCGTTCTGCAGCCAGTGCAGAAAGGCAGCCTGCAAAACATCAACCCAGCACGAGGGCACCATGGTTTGTAAAAAAAGTCCTTCATATTCCTCCAGTGGCTCTGGACCTGTGGTGATCCAGGGTTCACATCGAGTTGCTGGGCCTATTTCACCCTCTTCCTCCTCCGTGGCCACCTCTCCTCTTCACATCAGGTGTAAAAACAACAACCCCAAACCCAAAGAACAGCCAACAAGCCCAAACAAACGCCCAGAGTTCCAGAAGCCCTGACACAGGTATTGTGGCAGTCCCTGGCAGGGTTCTGTCCTAACTCTCCCTGTGCTCCCTGCGCTTGAAGACAGCGGCTGCCTTCCAGGTACCAGCAGCATGAGACAGAAGAATCTCATCTGGGAATGTGTCTTCCAGCTCCAGAGCTAATTCGGAGTCTTTGGCATATAGGTAAGGCAAGAGTGATTCCTTCAGGCTGGAAGACAGAGCAGAATGGCATTAACAGCTGGGGTACAGCAAACCTCAAGTGCCACAATATGAGTGCATTGCACCACCCAAAATACTCAATATCCACAACTGAATAGGTGTGTGTGTAGTGAGAAGGGTTGAACAGCCAGGTGGAGGTACAGAGCCCAGCCAGGGGAGGCTGCAAGGCAGAGGTGAGCGTGCCTATCCCTGAAAGCTGGCCTTGATCATCGTGGAGTCTTTTTCCAACCTTAATGAGTTTGTGATTCTGGTACTATTTTATCCAACTGCCTGCAGAAGTGCTGGTGTTTGTGCCCTGGATAGCAGCTCCTGGAGTGTTCCAGCAGTGTCCCCAAGAGAGCCTGTGTGAGATGGAAGTGACACCTGCCAGAAATGTGTGTGGATATTCCTTATGCTGCTGCCTGGGCTGTGTCCCCAGGACATGCATGTGCCAAAGGAGTGTTCCCATTGTGTGCATGCTCAGAGGCAGAAAAGCTTCAGTTAACAACTGTGATGGCTTTGGGTGTGTGCAACTCCTACCTCCACGTGGATTTGAATTCCTCCACAGCTTGGACACGTCTCAGCTTCAGGATGATCATTTCATGGAGCTCCTGCAGGAAGGTTTCCAGCCTGGAGTGGACCAGGAAGGTGTGCAGGAGCTTGGCAAGCTCTGGAGTGAGCTCTTCTTTGTAATCTGGACTGACATCTGCAAAAGGATCCTAAAAATGCAGCAAGGAGAGAAAAAACCCAAATACAGATTTGAGCAGCTGCAGGCAGAGCAGAGGAGGTCACACAGAGGTGCTGGGGGTGCCATACCCTGCCGAGGCGCAGCAGCTGCTCCGATTTGTGGGCACACAGGAGCTGCCACAAGGCCATGCTGTGCCTGAGCTGGCACCGTCTGAGGGCCTGGAAGAGAAGAACATCTGTGGATGTGAGGGATGTCCTTGGAGCCTGTCCCCAGCCTGCCCTGCCCAGAGAGAGCTCAGCACAGAGTTCATCCAGCCCCTTGGCCTGAGTGGAGGCCATCTGCCCTCTCACCCTTCTCCAGCTGCCCTCAATAATCCAGTTTTTGATACCACAACAAGCAGTGGGAAAGTGAGAGGGCTCTGTCACACAGGCTGGATTTAGCATAAGCCAGGGCAGATTTTACCCCACAAGAATCTGAGCTTTGCTCTCAGGACTCACCTGCAGCACGTGAGGGTTTGTCTGATCCCCCATCTGCAGGACTTGCTCAATGTACTCAGTCAGCAGCATGTCAGCGTTCTCACCAGACATGGCCAGGAAGCCCAGGGTGATCTCAGTGAGGGACAGAGCATCACACACATCACTGTAAGACTGCAGCTCCCCACTGATCATGTTCATCACAGAACTGGGTAGAGCACTCTGAAAACCACGAAGTCACAGTTAATATTGTTTTAAGAACCATTCCTTTTTCTGTTCAAATTGCTCTAGTCAAGGAAGACAACAGAGCCCCAGATTTAGGAAACTGAAATGCTGAACAATCTCCCTTTTCTTTGTAAATCCTGACTGACAGCACAAGGCCAGATTGCACGCACCCAAGGCATGCTGAGAAATCAGCAGGCAAGCCTTCAGATAGACAAGGCAAGGCACAGAAAACCCTTGGAAAAGCAGGGATTTCGTGCTTGCCCTGCTCCCTGCAGTGCAGAAACCCACCTGCTCCAGCTTGTTCTTGACATCATTGAACAGCTGCTCGTAGTTCCGGTCATGTCTATGCACTAGGGTGGGGATTCCCTGTCAGGAGAGAAACCCATGGATGTGAAGCTCTGGAACGCTGCGCCCAGTGCCCTCCTGGCTGCACAGCCCCTGCCCATCCTACCGTCAGTGTGATGAGTGGCTTCCCCTGCAGGAACTTGCTGATCACTTGCTGCTGGATCCTCTCCAGATCAAAGTCCTGCAAGGTCTCCCCTCCCTTCTCCATGCTGTACTGACAGTTGGACAGGATCAGAGGGATCAGGTCCCTCTCCACCTCGTAACTGATCAGGTGCAGGTCGGCCACTTCCGAGGGGCTGACCAGGTACCTGCAGGGAGCAAAGGGCTTGTGTTTAGAGGGAGAGGCCTCTGTGGAGCAGGGAAAGCTGCCTGAGAGGGAGCAGGGAAAGCAGCAGAGCCCAAGGAGCGGAGCAGCAGCACACCTGTCATCCTCCTTGGTGTGCATGTTGACGGAGTGCACCAAGTCGTTGTGCAGCCCGATGAGGTAACTGGCCAGCGCCGTGGAGCACAGCCCCAGCCCCTGCCGCCGCGGCAGCAGCACCTCCAGCCTGCTCTCCAGGCTCAGCTCGGCATCACAGTAGCCTTTAGGCAGCTTGATTTCCCCTGAAATACAGACAGCAGTGTTTGAGAAGGCTCAGAGCAGCCCAGGCTGAGCCAGGGCAGGAGGTACCGAGCCTGAGAAAAGCCACGCGCTCAGCATTAGGGACAAGCACAGAAGGGAACAACAAGTTCAGGTGACACTACTACAACAGAGAAACAAATCCTTCCCCTTGTACCTAGATTCTTAAAATTCAATAGTCAAGGCCAGTTTTGAGGATATGCCTCAGCTTCAGTGATGGGAACTGAAATCAGAATGAAGAGCGGTGGAGGAACAGGGCTGGGAAAGAAGCTGCTCACCATTGGTGTCCAGGGAGCTCCTCAGCTTGTTCCAGACAGACAGAAACACATTCACTCTCCTCTCTAACAGGTCCCTCATCACATCTGAGAACCAACAAAAAGATAAATCCATTAAACACCTTTTCCTGGTGAAACTCTCCAATACAAGGATCTTCAGAGTGCACCACTGAACTCTAGGCAACTGCTCTAGAGACTAAACAGACACCAAACTCCTTTCTAAAGGTATCAAATGGAGTAATTTGCTCAGTTTGTTATTTTTCCATTATTGCCTGCTCCTGCATGATCTTTATGTACTTTTCGTAAGTACTTAAAAGCATCAGTAATTGTACTCAAATACAATTGAAGGAGTTGCCACAAACTTCATGAAAGGAAGGGAAAAACATTAATTCCACACTTGAAGCAAACCCTGCTGTAGGGTTGAGCTTAAAATGCCAACAAAGCCACTGCTGCAGTGCACAGCGCTCCCACTCCCCATAAAGAATCTCCTGTACTTAATTACCTTTAAAGCCATCTGGTAACTTTTCAGCCTATCCAATCTCTAGTTCATTTGGGTGAGAGTTAAAAGGAAAATGTGAGTTCCCCCTTCACTTTCAAGTGGACAATCCAGCACTTTCTTTTTCATTAATTACAATTTTGGCATAGTCTCCTCACCTGAGTGGGGTTCCCTGAGGAATTCCCTGATGGAGCAGTGTTTGATCTCTGCTGTGTTCTGGAACTGCCTCACCAAATCTCTCTGCAGAGCCAGAATCTCTGGTAGGAATTTCACCAGCCTCAGCTCACTTTCCTGGAAGAGAAATGGGAACCTGTGGGTAAGGCTGTGCTTGGACAAACCAGTTGGGAATACTTCTATGGAATTACTTCTTAAATGTTTAAAAGACAACAATATCTTCCATGTTCATTCTCTAAATCATAGCAAGTACTGAGATAATTCCATGTTCATTCTCTAAATCATAGCAAGTACTGAGATTTAGTCCTCAGCAATCCCAGGCTCTCACCCTTGTGCCACCCCTACCTTCTGCAGGAACTTCCAGAGGACAGGGACGGTGTCTTTGGCATTCTTCTGCTGCACAACGTGGCCCAGGTTCTCCACGGAAACCCTCCTGCGACAGCTCCACATCTTGGAGTGGTGGATGTGGCTGTCCCCTGGCAGCTGGGACAGGAATGCAGCTGGGTCCCCATACACTATTTTCACTATGGGGTTGGAGGAGATTCTCTCATCCTCTTGTATCTGTTGGTTTAACTTCAGAAGCTTTTTATCCAAATCCTGCATTAAAAATATAATACGTTATTGGATATTGTGAAATACCCTCAGCTGAGCTAAGCCATTTCTGCTTTTCCAGCTATACAAATTCATCCTAGAACAACTCCAGTCTCAGGCTCCC